GTTCGCAGAGTTCATTTTTTCACGGCAGCACTTGTGTGTTTCCGTGCAAAGCATCGTGCTCAAGAGCGAATAATTCTGGAGCAGAGACGAGTTATTATGCTCCAGCTTCAGGGCATTGAACTTCAATTTATTTCAAACCATTTCAACCTGATCTTCGTATAACGTTCAAAGCACTTTTTAAGAGTTTAGTGCAAATAAGAGACAGGAAATTTTGATTTTAGTGCAATATGATTTGTTTTATTTACTTTAAGGTAAATCGCACTTCGCGAGCTGTGTCGTCGAGAGTAGGCATTTCTCAGTCAACTGAGTTGTGGCGAAGGCATTTGGTGACGAATGGCATTCGAACGAATGCCATTTCGTTCGCCCGTGTGGCACCGCGCGAGTGGCAATAAATCTGAAGGCATTCGGGAGTAGATGCCATTTTCTCTGGCCGTGTGGCACGGGTATTATTTTGCCTTCCTCCAGGGTTAACATATTCTCTCGCTGGCGCAGATGGGAGCTGAACGAGAACACTGGGGGAGCAAATTCGAGTTCGTGCTGACCTGCATCGGCCTGTCCGTCGGCTTAGGAAACATCTGGAGGTTCCCCTACGTCGTCTACGAGAATGGTGGAGGCACGTGGATTTATGACCTAGTATATATTTATATTCATGACCTACATACCTCACCAGGGCCTCGCCCTTGATACAAACTGACGATGTGCAAATTAAACTTTGCTGGACAAAATAGTTTCGTAAGCTGTAGTAGTGGTCTAGTGCATAGGACACCCGGTTTGGCTGCTAGATCTATCTATCTATCTATCTATCTATCTATCTATCTATCTATCTATCTATCTATCTATCTATCTATCTATATATATATATATATATATATATATATATATATATATATATATATATATATATATATATATATATATATATATATATATATATATATATATATATATATATATAACTATCTATCTATCTATATATCTATCTATCTATCTATCTATCTATCTATCTATATCTTTTCTACCTTTTCTAAATAATGCATGACATCACAAAATTGGCAAGAAAGACTCGAAACAAAAGTACAAGAAAGCAGAAAGATCGGGCCAAATTTTTGGCCCGACCTTTTTGCTTCCCCCCCCCCCCTACTTTGTTATCCAGTCTTCGCTGCCTAGATTGTGTTGATGTTTGTCCTTCTTATTTCAGCCAACTCACCCAGCAAAAAGTTCTACTTTCCTCAATGCTTTCATTCACGTGTCTCACTGCTTCGCCACGCAGCGGCCTTCCTGATTCCGTACGTCATCATTGTGGCCGTCATCGGCCGGCCCATGTACTACATGGAACTCGTGCTGGGACAGTTCTGCAGCAGAGGCCCCGTAGCTGCTTTCGATTCGATGCCCATCGCGAAAGGTACGCGAACCTGTGACATCCTCAGCCACAAGTATCGCCCCCCCCCCCCCAAAAAAAAAAAAGTGGAAGGCAAATGCGATGCGCACTGAAAACACTCAGAACTTGGCGCTAGTCCGTGTCTACCTCGTCCCCATATTTTTAGTGCGCATCACATTTACGTTCTAAGTGTGAACCAACTCACCCAGCAGCAAGTGTTATCAAGCCAAAGTGTTCATATGTATATGTGTCACAACAAAGGTGCAAGAACGTGGTCAAAGCCCCCCACCCCCCCTTTTTTTTTAAACAGCGTAGCTGTTTGAAGTCCAGGTGGGACCCGTCGTCTGCACTTTCTAGCCTATATATGCGAGAGAGAAGCCTGTCAAGAGGGAGAGACTTGATAAAGCTAAATGGGCGAGAGGGAAGCCGAACGTGGCGAATTAAGCCTGGCAGGAAAGTCGAGAGGGTGTGGCTGTCTAGAGAGGGGGAGAGCAGTTGGAGAGTGATTGGTTGTGCCACTGAAAGAATTCGACCAATGCTGGCGCGTTCTCGAGCACAAGTGGGGCTGATGAAAGAGGAGGAAGGGCACGCAGAGCGTTGACGAAAGCGGAGGAAATAGGCGCTGATGCCATCAGCTCCGCTCTTTAATCAACCTCCGCAGTTGAAGCTGTGCATAATTTTTCAATGAAGAAATCACCTTTATTGACCACATACGAACGTTGTAGCTCCTGAAACGTTGAGGCGGCGTCCACACGTTTTACGGGCATGCTACCAAGAAATACTAAATCACTTCGTGCGGCCAGGCGCGTAACAGAATTTTGTTTTTTGTTTTTTTTGGGGGGGGGGGGCACTTCCTTAATTTCGGGAAGGGCACCCCGCTGAAATGGTGATTTTTCGCTTTCTATGTCATGGCGAAAAGAAAAATCGGGGGGGGGGGAGGGTATACTCTGGCTAATCCCCTGCACCCGAGCACAGTATTTTTCTTTCAAACTCTATCCCTTATAACGTTCAGATTTATATCACGAAGAAATCAATCATGTTTTTTTTCCCTGTACATTGCAAAAGAAGTATGCTTACCACGGGCGCCCCGGACGCACGATTTCTTGCCGGCCCAGGCCGAGTCACAGAAGGACCAGGACAACACCTCGAAGCAGGAGGTGTTGTCTCTTGCCATGGTAATACGTAATGCGGGGCTTTATTAGCCGGTCAGAAATGGCTGACACTATCAATAAATGAAAATGAATTAAATGTATCAACCACTGTATTGAAGAATCCCTGCAACACTTTGTCAACATGGTCAGAGAACGCTGCCGATTGCTATAGTCGAGGCCCCGAGAACACGCTTGCCGGACATTATCTTTTACAATCAACTCTCAAAGGCAGCTAGAAATTATTCCCTCTTCTTTCTACAAATGATGCTGTATGGTATATACACAAATGATCGTGCATTAAATCCTATGGCCACGACCACTGGCTGATTTGGGCATCGCGGGCTGCTTAGCTATTGCGGCGACCGCGGCAGATCACCACGTGCCCGAGTGCTCGCGCTTGCGGTCGCACTAAAAGTATAAGACCCCTGTCACACGGGCCACGGCAAACCTAACGCCATTTACAATAAATGACATTGGGCGGACTTAATGTCTTTTTACGTGCGTGTTGTCACACGATGAAAACAAATGTCGTTTTAAAATGATGACCATGACCTCAGCCCTCCCGAGCCGGGTATTTAGGGAGAAAAAATAACGTGCTAAAACTTGCATGCAACATACATGTGTCAGAAAAAAAATCCTTTATGAGTAAAAGGTACTCCTAGAATATTACCGTGGACGTTTTACACAACTTGCCAAAGCTGTGTGTCCCACAACTGGCAAATCTTATCCTTACGTTTATTTTTTTAAGAAAGAAAATAATTTTTGACCTTTTCCATTGACGGCAATGGGGAATTTCAAAACGGCAGCTGTCGTATAACTAAATGGGAAGATAGGCGCCAATGGGAACTTCTAAATATATTTCTTCCTTAAACAAAAAAAATGTAATATTAAGACTTGCCATATAAAAAGAAATGCATACTTGCTTATGATTTAGATGTAAAATTGATTTTAATTGTACAACAATATGGTGCAAATTGCATCTCAATAAGGAAAAAATGACAATTTGCAATTTTTTTGTAAAGATCAGCTGCTTTAGAGGTCTAAAATTACTTTTTTCCCCCTCAAAATATACATTATGTGGAGTAGGTATTCACTACTCAGATATTCATACAAAGTTCAGTATTGCTATAGAAAAGCTGCAAAGATAACACATTTTGGCTAAAGAATTCGAGGCGTATGTGCCAGTAAAATTGCAGTAATGTTACTGAGCTTCAAACACCATACACAAGCGCCTCTACTTGAGGTGTTGGCAGAATTTGGTATAGAAAGAAGAAGCTGTACTTTTAAAAAAAATTCCACAAACAACACCCAAACGACATTCCAGGAAGTTCAGAAGGCAGCACCATGACCAAAAATTTTTTTCTATCCGAAATATTCTAGCAGTTTACTGTTTTCAATGCAGTATATCAGCACAATTTTTTTTTCGAATACATTTAAGATGGTCGCCAAATGGCTGGGACGTTTGGCGTGGAATAACACTACTACACAGTAAATTTTTTTACACCCTTAAGGGTGTAAACTGGCTTGTCGCCAGAGGAACACCCTATGGGTGTTTTCAGATACACCCTACTGAAAGGGTGTTATGTGAACACCTTAGACGAAGGGTGTCGAGCAAAATGAAAATTGGGGTGTTAGGGTGTTTTGAACTGGAACACCCTTTTTCAAGGGTGTTGGAAAAGTGTGCACCCTCTGCTATATCGATAGGCGTGCGCTGCAGTGTTCCGCTTCAGGGCAGGGTGAAGTCAATATATATGTGCACGAATATCCATGGCTATATATCGACTTCCACAGAGCACTAACGGGTATGCACGGCACATGTATGCACGGCACATGCTAATATATATAGTACTCAAAGCAGTGTGCCTGTCTATTGCAGGATGCAGAGAATACACATATTTCAGCAACTTAATTTGCAGTTAAACCTGGCATGGCTAAATCAAGGTTCAGTCTTACCAAGTTAAAAATATTGTGCATATATAAAAACAACAGTGCTATGTAGATGCGCATCGCTCTCACTTTTAAAGAAATCTGTTTTTGATGCATTCTAGAAATAAATATGGATTTGTGCAGACTAAATATCAAGAACAAGTACCACAAGGCAGTTTTTCTCTAAATTATTTACATTTATTGCAAAATTTTACACATGCTTCTTGCAATGTGCATTATATCATAATGGCCCACATAATCTAATCTGACCATAACCAAGGCAGTGTAATGTTATTTAGATTAGCAAACAAGCAGCAAAAACTATTGCACAATAGTTCCGTCTTGCAGGAATGTAATATGGTAATAACTAAAAAGTTCAATGACCATGGGTTATTTGACAGCATGTGTGCCCGGCTATGCAAAAGGAGAAACATGCACGACTTGTGAAGCAAATGCAAAATCAATAAATTTTCAATCACTAATACAATCAAACATAAAAAATATGCAGTAAGGCAAATGTGCAAGAACATTACCATATGGCATTATCATATGACTATGTGGATTTTACGAATGTTTAAGAACTTCGCAACAACAGATCTTGGTGTTGTCTTTTCGAGCTCAAAAAAAAATCTTTCGAGGACGACAAGGGTGTTGAACGCTTTACAAGCATATTGAACATTGAACAACCAGTTTGCACACATAATTGCGACAAGTCCTTCCTCTGCATTAGTCACTTGAAAACACTTTGTCTGGTCTACCATCAGCCAGAAAAACTCTGCATCTTCAAGGACGGCCCCATTATAAGATACACATGGCGTTGCTGGCATGTCGTCCTGTATAGGCAAAGTGAAAATGCATAAGACTTCACTGAGTGGCTTACTTCAAATTCTGTACAGTTTAAAAAACAGGTTTAGAGCACTTTAAAAGACACAACTTGTGTTTTAGCATCACAGATGTGATATCTATCATTAACAACAATTTCAATGTGTGCAGCATAACTATGGTTTAACTGGGAGATTAAAACAATATAATGCATCTGACAAAATGAAGGGAACAATTGTAGTGTCACGAGTTCTCTAGGCAATCACAATGCAAAGCAATGAAAATTTATGCATCCATTCGACATACACAAACAAAAAGCTGGTATTCACTGCCCCTTAGCGTGCACAAAACTTGCCTCATTAGGGAATAGGGAAAGAAAGAAAGCCTCGTTCAAGAATTTCTTCAGACATATTTAGTTATTCTACATCAGCTAACAAAAATAACTGTGTTATACTTGAAAAATAAAAATTTTTTCTTCCTGGAAAAATAAAAACATTCCTTGACACACACAAAAAAAAAACAACAGCAGGAGAAGGTGATGTAGATTGTACCATATATTTTCATCCTTGTTTCATCTTGAAATTTATTTTTACTTGCTGTAAAAATCTAATACAATGCAACTATAACGCTCATCACACTGTTATTCTGTGTCTGTGTATTTAACCTGATACTCAGATTTTTTAAACCCGAGTATGGAGTGCATAAGGTTAAGGAGCACTCAAGAGTTTGAAAATGTCTCTTGTTTTGCAGACACAATAATGGTGGCAGAGGATAGCCTTGTGTAAATTTATTTAATGCACACTGCTTAAAAGCAAGACATGTCACAAAGCAAACAAAGCATAAAATGAGCCTGGGGCCTTGCATTCATATATTAAAGGAATCAAGTCACAAAACTAATTCGTGATTACACTGATCAGATAGAGAGAGAAAGTATATGCTAGCAGGAGTTACTGCTGTTTTGCAAAGCCACATGCGAAACAATGTTTAGAATGAAAAAAACACCATCTTGACGTAAAATGCAACCTAAAGTGAGTATTGCAAGGCATCATTTAAAGCATATGGACGCAAAATTGCAAATCAATGTCATGCACTTGAAAAAAAAATACTGGCTGACTGACCTTCACAATTCCTTCATTTACGTCGGTCACAGCTTACAGCCACAAAATTATGTTTTACACGTTATCTATCGCCATCTCTAAATTTGGTATTACAGTCAAACCCCTTTACGAGAGACACTGATATAAAAGACAAACGGGTATCCGAGACACCAGTGTGCCTACACTAAAATATGGGCTGATAAGAAAATGCGTACGAGGCACCCTGCTTATAAGAGACATCTTGTATAAAAGACAAGAATTGCCATCCGAAGCATGCCTCTTATAAAGGGGTGTAACTGTACTGGCATTGCTTTGTCATAACTTGACCATTGGCCTCTGCTAGCAATAGTGAGTTCGCTTTGATGCAGTTTGTCTAAATTTTCATTTGCTAACATGCAGTGACATTAGCTACTCAGTGTTTCATATACTCACAGTCTCTTGCACAAATAAAATTGAGCATGCTGACCGTTCCTTCACATTCTCACAGACGATTTTCAGAGCTACAAGTGCCATAATATCTGCAAAAAATAAAATTATGCAAGGCTATTTTATTTGACAGTAATAAATAATTTCAAACTGTGATAAGAGGCAATGAAGCATGCATTTCAACATCTAAAATGCTTTCTAAATAAGCCTGGGAAGGAGAAGATGCAAGCTTGTCATACAAAATTTGTAAAGAAGCGGCATATTCTCAAGAAATTGGCTAGAAGGGTAATGTGTTGACTTCAATCACAATTGTATAAAACACAAATGTGATAGCCAGCTTTCACAGAACACGTGAAAACATATTCTTCATAGGAATGAATCTGGTAATTACACTTTCTTTGAATATAGATTAATTCTAGCCGTGACTTCTACAAAGGAGGGCCATCAGCATACTGCTAAGTATTCCCTTGTGAGAAAAATATTCTTCGTGGCCCTAAAAAAGGGTGTTACATTTAGGAAAGGGCCAATGGTGCAAGTGTATTGAAATGTATCAAAAGGGTGAGTTGGGGCAGATAATGTGAGCTCATGGATTAAACAACAATAAAAACATAAAAAAGGACTCCATACAGGCATTTCTGATGTTCAGCTATCATATGTGTCTTTCATCCTTTATGCTGTTCAAAACAGTAAGTGTAAAGTTGGCAGTCTGTACAGGTTCATCCATTTATCAGATGTGTAGCACTTGAAAGAAAACATGGACAGCACACACAAATGAGCTCTGAAGTGCAAACTTAGGGCACATTGAAACAACTTTTCTTATAGGTTGTGATACATATGGCCTCCTAATATACAGCCTCCTGTGATTTGACCTCCTGTGATAAGTTAGCCTTCTGATACATATGGACGCAATTCCACTCTGCTAGCCTTTAAGTGAGGAGCTGCATAAAATCTCTTTTCACGAGAGCAAGGATGTGTGGCTGCCAACATTTCAAGTACCCTTGCATGTGTGTGCTGCGAACAGACTTTTCAGGGCCATTTTTCTTCAGCTTCTACAATTATTAGAAGCTGTGTCATTACAAGAAAGCAAGAAATGATACACAAATAAAGCAAACAATAAATTTGAAAGCACTGAATTTTAAAAAAAATCATAAAAGGTATACAAAAGGTAAGTAATACATAAGTACACAAACATGTTTTACTCTCTCTGCAGATTTATATTTTTAGAATGAAGATGAGCTATTTATGATAATGCAGATTGCAATTTTATGTACCACAAAAAAAAGTAGGTCAACACAAGAACATAGTGCTAAAAAAGTATGTGACCTGAGCAATGTAACTGATTGAATTCACTAGGAGTAAGCCAGAGTAACTCTGATTTAAGTGGCAAAAGCTCCTTGAACAGCTTGGGCTAGTTTCATGAAAGACAGGCAATTATTAGGATCCTTGATAGGGAAAACAATAAAGTTATTTGCTGATAAATATTATAGTATACGGGAGAGTGCATGCATATTACATTGTGGAAAATTAACTATGGGGTTACCGAAAAACTGTAATCTAATGTCTTACAAACCTAGCAAGTACGCAGTTATCCTTGTCTGTTGTCTTCCCTGTTTTTACACAATCATATTTCAAGTATCGAGTACAATCCAAGCTGAAATAAAATTCTCATGAACTCACGTCTTGTTCTCATCCTTTTGGGGTCCATTTGACGTGCTCTCTCCAACATTTGCCTCGTGTTTTCACTACAACGTATTTTCTTCATCACTGCCAATTGGGTTAATTTATCGATGGCTGTTGAAACCTTCCCGACTGGTTTTATGTCGGTCAGTCTTGTAAAGTCATTGCAAAACTGCATAGAATAAACAGCGAGCAACATTATAAAACAAAATGTCAGGCCTTTCATGATGAGCAGCCTCACCTACATAATTTTTCATATATTCTAAAATAGTTTCTGGCGGCACCCAAACAATCTCTCTACAAAATACAAATAGAACATTGCCCACTAAATATATGTCCTCGATCATGAAATAGACAACATTCAAATAACTATACAGTATGCGCTCAAAATCAAGTCCCCATGTTTTTCTTATCTTTACTGTCAGCTCGTTTTCATTGAAGCGGCGTCATACCAAGAAAACCGAGGCCTAATGTTTCCACTTTTTTCTTGCGTTTAGAGCAAGAGTCTTGTTCTGGCAGACTTGATGCCTTCAGAAAGTATGTGAGGGATTATTGGTAAACTGCAGCTATAGTACAAAAGTAATATGCCGCGGGGTGGCAGCAGGCAAAAGGTGTTCAACACTCATCGCAATAGCTTAGAGCATGCAGCACTGGCTAACACTCCCAAGTTTAAGTGCACACATCCACCCCAATTAATTGTACAGGAGGAAGGCTGGCACTGTAGCTCGACTGGCAGAGCATTATATGAGTTACTTGAAGGTTGCAGGCTGGGACCCCAGTGGCAACAAGTTGTATTCTTACCCAGTTAAATTTCTTCACTTTTATATAATTACAGCAATACAGTTAATAAACCACAGATGTACCCTACCTAGAAGTAAAAAAAGCCAACGTACTCGCTGAAAGTCCATCATATAGGGGTAGTTCTTTTTCACATCACGAATCGTTTTCGTCGCAACGTCAGGAAGCCTCTTCCCAGCTGTCAAGGCCATTAACTTTTCCACGAGTTGCTCATCCGGCAATAGTTTTTTGGTTTCCAAAACAAGTCGATCTTCATGTTTGGCAATACTGTCATCATCTTCTGCTGTTAGATCTGTGATGCTCACACTCTGGAATTGGAATCAAATTGCAAGCTATTGATGAGACTATTCATGCAGCTTTTACAAATGGGTGGGATTTTCTGTGAGCACGGTATTAAACTATCCTCACCATTTTCCCAGCTTTTTTCCTTTGAAGCTCAGTGGTGCCTCCTGTTTTCTTTTGGGCACCGAATTTCTGGCGACTTGCTAACACATCTTCATGATCATCCAGCTTCCTTCTTAGGTTTTTATACTTATTGCGGAGGGCTACTTTCCAGGAGTCCTGTCAATTCGGAAAATGAAGGTGCTCAATATATTCATGTACACAATGATACATGCATACCTGGCCTTTTCAATGAATTTCTTTTCATAATAAATACACAAACTAAAATTCAAGCACTATAAGCCCACTGATATCAGTGACTTTAAAACTGCTGGTAATGAAATGCACTTTTGATAAATATATCCAAAGCATTCACTAGTTGCAAAACATTCACAAAATGTCTAGCAGCACTGCTTATTTATTAAAAAGTATGTCTCACAGATAAATGGCTGCTGCAATACCCTGACTAAAATTTAGTAGCACGCTCACTTATCCACTCGTCTGGTGATTTATGTAGCTGCAGGACATTTGAGCCTTAGTATTGTGTATGCGGCCATATACAAGACCCCAACTTGTTGCTACTCATGACAGCGGCTGCGAATAAGAAAAGTGACCACTACCAATTACACCCTACAGCATATGAAGCTTAAGACTATAATGACCCCACGAGTCCCAGCTAATGAAGAACCCTCTTTTTCTCTTTTGTTTTCGATTTTACATATGAATCTGTGCACAATAGTCTTTGTAATTGTAAGCATCATACAGTGTCACTTCAATGCAAAATTAGATTTTCAAGATTGAACATATTGCTACGATACTGAGGATGCGCGTGGAAGAAGAGGAGAACGAGGTTGGCACGAGCAGTGATCGGCCAGATCCCTGGACTCTCGCATTGATCATCTCCTTTAAATAAAGGCATCCATCGCACCGTAACAAGATTGGTGGAGGTGCTGGGTACAGCGGAGCGATCCAAGTCCAACGATCACGGAAGCGCTACCTCAAGAACTACGCCGAAGCCGCCGACTGGCTGGTCTACCACCGCTCTCTATGGATCCGATTGCTGACGGCGACACCACGCACTCTTCGTCTGGCGCTGCTTGACCCCGGCACATGGTACCACGGAGCTTCTCAGGGAGGGTCGGAGAAGACGTTGACGAATGGCTGAAACACTTCAACCGTGTGAGTAAATACAACTGTTGGGATGCGGCCTCCCGGTTGTCCAACGTCGGATTGTTTCTTCAAGGGACGGCGTTGGTGTGGTTTGAAAACCACGAAGAAACAATAATGACCTGGGAAGCGTTTGAGAAAGAAATAGCGAGCTGCTTCGGGGACCCATTGATGAAGAAGAAGCGCGCTGAGCAAACTTTGATGCAGCATGCTCAAGTCCCCGGTGAAACTTGCACAACGTACATTGAAGAGATTTTGAAATTGTGCAAGTCTGTAGACCCACGCATGAAAGAAGACGACAAGGTAGGGCATCTTCTCAAAGGGGTTGCTGAGGATGTCTACAATTTCCTCATCGGCAAGGACACCTTGGCGTCTGTAGCGGACGTAATACAACACTGCCGCACGTTTGAGACACTGAAGGCTAGGCGCATCACTCCCAAATTTGGTAGACTTGCCAACGTCACCACCGTTGCAAGTGTCGACGTCCCTCCAACATCCCCCAGTGATCTTGCCTCAATGATCAGGCAAATCGTACGCGAAGAACTTGGACGACGTGATGCTGTCAACCCGCCGAGAGCACCTGCTATCAACACCTCCCCGCCATACGACGCAATGTGTGCTGCCGTTGATGCCACGCTATATGATGTGCCCCAATCAAGAGCACCAGAGCCCCCAACCGACAACCTCGTTCTCCTCTTCTTCCACGCGCATCCTCAGTACCGTAGCAATATGTTTTATTAAAGTGAATGTTGTTATATCAATGCATTGTGAAACACTGAAAAAAATGTACCCAAAACTGCTTTTAAATGTGATTAAGGAGCTTTAAGGAACATTAGGGAGCAATGTGATTAAGCGTAAGTATCACATATCTTACAGCATAACAGTACTTACGTGCCCACTTCCAATTACATCTTTCAGCTGTGGATACTTGTCAAGAAGCAGGGTTGTCACCTTACTGTAGAAACAACGCGTTGGATACCTGCAAGACAGTTGAGCATCGCAGCTTAAGCTGTCACAACTTGAAGTTTAACAGGGCAGGACACTATATTTAAATGTGCACCTCTGTGTACTCACAGTGTGTGCTTGGCCATTTCATTGTGCAGGATGTCAATGATTTGCCTGAATGTAGAAGGTGTTAGCAGCGGAGAGCTTATCACTTTTTCATGGAGGGCACCAAGGCTGGGTAGTTTAAAATTTATGCCATCATTATCCCCTGAGCCGAGTGGGCTGTAAAAAATGTATCATGATGCAAATTACCGCCAGAAAAATAACACTTCGGGTAATCTTTCTGCTCATGCACACGTTAAAAATAAAGCCAGAAATTAGCAGATATTTGGGCTGAATAAAACAAACAACAAGAAACCTGCAGTAAAAGCAACACAAACACACTCAGGCCAAAAGTGCTAGACAGCAGTTTATATATCAGCAGTTTAAAAGTTTATGAGTCATTCACAATAAAACATCTAGCTTGTCTGCTTGATTTATAGTGTTCTCAAGGCTATAGAAGCTGAAAAAGTGAGTTTGCAATAGATATTAACAGTCAAGTTGAATGTCATGGCTGGATTGTTATTGCAATGCTTTAAGTGTGCCTCACATCTATAAAAACAGCTCAAGTAGTTTTGATCAAGGTGGAAGATAAGAAGAACATGACTAGAACATGCATTTCTTACTGCATATTCATTGCACTTCTGCAATTCCTGAACGCACATGTGTAAGTGTAGCTCTAAAATCGCCATGGCTTTGAGAAGACTGCAAGTCATTAACCAATCAGTGTTCTTATCTTCTAATAATGCTTTTGATTAGAAAGTTATACAATTCAAAAATTACATTATTTGAAATATTTCAACAGAATATGACTTTGTAATAATACATGCCAAATGAACACAAATATTTATATAGCCACGAGTAATGTTGCAAAGTTTACGTAATAAGTTTTTCAAGTTTATTTAAAGGATTAAGCTATGATGACAAGATCAACACATAAGCACTAGTGTGACTGGTGAACAGCTGTTGTTACCGTCTAGAGAAATGGTGACGTACATTCGTGTCACAGCTCTCTAATTATACCAAACAGCTATCATTCCTTCACAAACATGTTAAATAACTGCAAATGAGGTACCCTCAAACAACACTGCATAATTCTTATGTAATGCTTATTGGTGATAATTTTCATTTCAAGTTGATCTTTTCCTAGTTTGTTGATGTATCATTCCGAATTGAATATATTCAATTCAACCTGGTTTTTATTACTCGGAACTGCTTCAATATGGTGAACTAATATTTGCACATCTCTACCCATAACTCATAGCTGTTCATACTGCAATTACAAATGATCCTAAAAAAGCCCTTACCGCTCGACAGGCTCAATGACCATGCTTGGTGTGTCTTGCTCACCAGTTTCAACAACAGCTTGTAATGTGCCCTGAAAGCAAGGGAACGAACAATAATGCAACTTTTACATGATACAAATAAGGGGAGGACAACCAGCACATTAACCATTTCACTACAGTCGATGAGCATGTATCTGTCATGAGACTTGGTAACGAAATGAGCCATGATGACTGCACTTTTTATCAGCAGACGTTAGTCTGCAATTGAACTTATTATAATAAGGCTATATTCATGATACTTTTGTTCCCTGATGCCAGATGGCTACAACTGTTTATGTTGGGCTGTTTAGGTCTCGTTTTTCATTTTTGAGAAATCCCATATATTGGTTTCATTGAAGTCACTTTTAAGGTATTACTTTCATGGCAATAGTGAAGTAAACGAACCCCACTGAGTTGAAACAGTGGCACCATTTCAATAAAAAACAAATTATTAATATTTCCACAAACTCAGCAAAGAGGATATTTTTTGTTTTCTTCTTTTCATATGTTTGCAGAAGGGGCAAATAAATTTCTTATATCTGCAATCCATGGCCTCTCACAAGACTGAAGGCATTTGCTTGAGAACCATTTTTCAACCAGGAGGTCAGAAAATCGTAATCACTAATGCGTTAGTATACGCATTTCTGCAAACTGGCCTGGTTCTTGCAAAATACCTTCAGCCACCTTGCGGATCTCCAAAGAACTCATTTACAATACCTCATTGACATTTCAGAAAGCTAACAAGACCCGCATACAAGTAAAGATCCATACTATGGGCTATAAACAACATTTTTATGTCTCATTAGGCACCCTAATAAACTCCGCTGCACTCCATTGGCAGTGTTGTTCAATGGTACTTCGCTAGCTGTTGGTGAGTAGTGAGTAATAACATAGCAAGGGCAACTTAATAAGCTGTATTTCGTAAAGTTGCAGTGTTACGATAGTTGAGAGCTCCATCTTTTATTACTTTGGTCAGTAAATGTACTAGATATTGCTTATAGCATGGAGATATTTAAATACACGCCAGTCTTTCACAACACATTCTAGAAACTGTAAACCTATTGCTATAGCTCACACTGCCATCATTTATTATATTACTGTAAGCCCTCGCGGGCAGTTTCAGGGGTGGGAATGCACAATATACAATATTGAGATACAATGCATAGCATAGAGGGCAGCGGCAAGTTGGTATTCATACATTGCAATGACGAGGTGGTAGGTATTTTACAATAATAACGGCAGAGCTGGTTTAAGCTTTTCATTGCACCTGGTAGTGCAAGCAAAAATCGGCATTTCCATGAACTGGTACACGCTCTCTCGTACTATTTATGCACTGTGCACAAGAAAACTGCAATGAAACTTTTCCCCTGTCTAAGAATAAACCTCTGGCGCAGACACTTTGCCATTTCTTTTTGCAGAGAAGTGAAATGTTTTTTTTAGTCTTTTTATATTTTCAGAACGGAAAATATCAGGACCACCCATCTTAGACAAATGATAAGCTGTCTACTTGGGTATTTTAAGATGTTTGCAGACTTTTACGACCAGATTCTGCTTTGGCGCACCATTCCATTTAAGTTTCACCATTTCCGCTCCACGGGTCATTTCGGTATTATGCTGTGCTTCGTGCCGGCCAGGTGCGATTACTTATGATTTCCCACTAGAACTTTGATATATACGGCACTAAAGCCCAAAATTAAAATGCTAATTGAACAGTTTTAAATTTGTCACGTGGTCGTCATTTTAGCTGCAGAAAGTTATTTTCGCTTCGCCATCGAGTTTGTGCGAAAACGACAGGAACCAGCGTATCATAGACTTTTTATTTTAAAAAAACTGCAATGGTTAAAAAAAGGCACCCTCCTAAAATTGCGTGAGTGCACGCAAGTTTGTGTCACACGCAAAAAAAAAAAACATAACCAGGGCCTTGCATGCCAGCGTGCGAAAAGCGCAGACAATAAAACAATTTCTTCAATACAATTTTTTTAATTTAAATAATACTTCAAATAAAATACTTCAAAATTTATTAATTCATTCCCTGCTATTCCACAACACCGATTTCACCCGCACCTTCCGCGAAGAAACACTGCGCTTGACTCAAGTCCCCCTGCTTTGCTGCTCACAATCACACTTCCTCTTTCACCCACAGCATACATGTCCCTAGCCGTAAGTAATATTCCAACAAAATGTACTCAAATCAACATAAGCCGGTAAAACTTAAAAAGCAGCTAGATCGTAACATCCGCAAAGGATTTGTACCATATTCGATAACTAATCTAGAGAAGAGCATCAGGCGTTAGGACTTAACATCGGACTTCTAGAATGACATCAGCTGATAACAAACTCAGACATTTCGTGCCGTTTTGCTCTCGCTGCCAAAAATCGCTCGCGCCAACAGTTGCAACTGATCATCAAAACTAAATAACTGATAATTTAAATATTGATAAAAGAGCATTTAATCTTAATAATATTAAACAATAAGAACGAAAAACTCAGAAAATTTACCTGTGACGATGAACATGACGGCGCTTCATTCCCGCTACTTTCTTGCTGTGCCATAAGAACGATTTTCGACATATCGGGTATGCTGTCTTCAGTAGCGAGGTCGACAAGTTCATTGAACAGAGGATCCATTACCTGCAAACCAACCCCGTATATTGTCAATGAACTGAAAAAGATGTATGAGGGTTTGTTCGCTACTGTATGTTCCTAGATCGCGAAGACACGGCTCAGCTGCCAGCACGCATGGCCTGTTGGAGACACGGCCTCCGGAATGCCTTGCGCACACACACACACACACACACACACACACACACACACACACACACGCACGCGCACACAAACACGCACGCAGGTACGCATAGGCATCTTTACTCGAAATAAATTTTCGACTAATCCCCTCACTATGCAATTCTCCTCACGTACACTTGAGACAACTCCACAACTCGCATCATACACGCTATAAATGTTAATTCAACAATACAAAACACTCGAGAGCGCTCCAACTTACAATACACTCTAGATCGACGATAACACAGGTTTGTGTACGATAAGAACAAAAGTGACATTCTTGAAAATATTAAAGCAAGCGCCTCACTACGTTCTCATGCTTTATTTGTGCATTCTACGAAAAGTGGTGTGCCCTGCCAACCGTTCAAAATCAACGAACTTTGTTGAAGCGAGTGTAGTTCAGCCGCATGCTCAGCGAACTAAGTTTAAAAGTGCACGGCGAACTCGTTCGGCCACATCGCAGCCGATGTTATCTCGAGTATCAACACGTTTTTTTTGTTGTTGTGGTGTGTGGGAGGGGTGAGTTAAATTACATCAAGGAGAGGTTAATGCGGTCAGAACGTAAACACAAGGCTTGCGACCATTGACAAGCCTTCAGTGAGGCCTAGCTACGATGTCGATACGCGAAACATGTAGTTGCCTTTCGACATACTGTCAATTCGGGCACGCGTACACATGTATGAGGCAGACAATAAAAACGCATGAGTTGTAAAATAATACAAAAACTTGCACGCTTAGTTTTCCTCTTAGAAACACTGTTTCGGCAAACCGGACCCCACTAACAATAGTACAGAAGCGCACATCCCCAGCCTTTAAATACGAAACTACGCAAACTCGCAGCAAAAAAAAAAAAAAAGAAAAACGGGCCTCAGCTTTCAACGACGATTAAAAGCACTTATCGCTCTCAACAAATACACAGTTGAACAAATAAGCAGTCACTTACCTGAAATTTGCTGCAAGACAGTTGAACTTGCGACCCAAGGACAGGACATGTGGCAATCGCATGTTTGAGGGCGACCACGGAACCTTCTTCCAAGTGGTACGTCCGCTTTATCTGAATGTGCGGTACAGTCAGCAGACAACGGATCGGCGGCATCTCGGATGACGCAGCGCACAAAATTGACGTTCCAAAGTCCTCAGCGCGAGTGAAGAAAATGCACGCCAAATACTATTCAAACGCTTCAGCACTCTGCGAACGGCGCAGATAGTCACGTTTTCAACGGCGCAGTTATCAAAACGGCGCGCACTCACGAGTACTGACGGAGGAGTGAAAGCTTGCGGGTGTGGAAAGAGATGCCGAGAAAGTGCGGAAGCATCACACCTTCTATATGCAATGGTATCTCCCTCCGCGCTCGCTTCTCTACGTTGAATTTGAGGGGGCGGAGAGGGACAGGGGGTAAACCATGCTTACATGGACACGACCTCTCTGACGCGTTTGCTGCTGGAGTCGTCACTTGCAAGCGAACGTAACCTTCCAAAGACGCTGCCACTCTTTCTCTCTCGTCTCCTTACATCTTTCATCCCCTCTTCCCGAAGGCGCTGTGCCCTGCCACGGCCGCCGGAGAAAGAAGTAAAAAAGAAGGGCCAGCAGCCGTCGTCGTGCTAACAGCGCTCCCGAAAGGAAGTGGTAATGGCGGCGTCTCCTTCTTGATCAAGCACATCCTATATTCGAGTAGCGCGTGAGAACGGCGTGCGCTCGTCGTGGCTGTTGAATTTGAGCCTTTTGAACTTTCCGGAATGTCGTTTGAATGTCGTTTTAGAAAAATTATTTCAAAAGTACCTCTCCTTCTTTCGATACCAAATTTGTTCCACATGTAAATATAAAAATATTTACACACATGTTGAACCTTTGCGAGTGTGTGTTCATTTTTTTGTGCATTTTCTTGATTGTTCTTGTACAGTTTTCTGCGAAGCAAAAAGTGTATATCATGATCTTTTCTTATGAAAATAAAGATATTACAAAAAATAACGTTGTGACAATGGCTTTATAAAGGATTTCCTTGTTTGTGTGGTGTCGATGACACCATAATCTTAAAAAATGCAGTACAACATACACTTTGCTCCACTCAAGTCTTTTTAATATGTAAGCATGGATGCATTTAATACTCGTGCCACACGGGCAGAAAAAATGGCATTTATCTCCTATAATGCTTTCAGATTGAAGGCCATTCGCGTGGTGCCACATCACGGATGAACGAAATCGCAATCGCCCAAATGCCGTTCGTCCTCTAATGTCATCGCCAGGACTCATTTGATTGAGAAATATAAAACGACATTTGATTCGACTAGAAGGAAACTTTTCGCGGATCTTATTTACACCAATCACTCAAACAACTGCTTAAAACTTCTCTTCAGCTGGTATATATGCAATGTAAAATAAATGCGCCAGGCGCCATTTCCTTTTTATGCTGTGGATCTGACTAGCTTTGGCTTAAGTTGCCATGGTTGGTTGCAACGTCGTGAAACAAACTAATGAACGAAAGCTAACGGCAGTGTAATATGCTTATTTATTCTTTCAATTATCATTGGATGTGTATGAAGCTTGTAAACGCTTGTTTATTTTTTATTGCTATATATACTCACCCAATGCTCACTAGGAAGGTGGTGCGATCGAAATCATCAAGTCAAATGTCATTCGCTTTGGACATAACAGCAACGCCGAGAAAAAATGTCATTCGGGAACTGAGTGCACGTGTCTTCGCTATATATACCGAATGTCATTTTCTGTGCCCGTGTGGCACGGGTACACCCTTAAGTCCTTCCCTTAACACCCTTCATCTTGTTCAACAACACCCTTTTTGCCTGTACACCCTTCTTGTAGGGTGTTCCGAAAGAAAAAAGGGTGTGAAATTTTGAAAAAAGGGTGTAAATTGCGATAACACCCTTTTTACACCTATAAGGGTGTAAAAAATTTTACTGTGTATAGTAAATATTGTGGGAAACTTTATGGTCGAGGGGGCCTTTAATTGCATGCGTACGCACGTGGAAACCATTTCACAGGTCGCCCCGCCACGGTGGTCTAGTAGATAAGGTACTCGGCTGCTGACCCGCAGGTCGCGGGATCGAATCCCTGCAGCGGCGGCTGCATTTCCGACGAAGGCGAAAATGTTGAAGGCCCGTATGCTCAGATTTAGGGTGCACGTTAAAGAACCCCTAAGGGTCGAAATTTCCGGAGCCCCTCCACTACGGTGCCTCTCATAATCTTATCGTAGCTTTGGGACGTTAAACCCCACATATCAATCAATCAATCATTTCGCAGGTGTGGGACTTGCCATGCCGTACTCGTGTTTTGGAGTCGCCCTCTATTACAACGTCATACTAGCGTACGCGCTGCTGTACGCCTACTACTCCTGCTTCGAGGTGTTGCCCTGGTCCTTCTGTGACCCAGCCTGGGCAGACCAGAACTGCTACGTCCGAGGCGCCAACGCGGTAAGCATACGGCTTTGATGATGTAGAGGCGCGATTCGGAAGCACAGGCAGCTGGGTTTCACCTCTCCTGGTTGCGCATGCGTCAAGGAGCATGGATGGATGGATATGGCTGTACCCTTTAGATCGGGCGGTGGCTAGCGCCACCAAGCAGCCAGCAGCCAGCGCCAAGCCCCGCCATCAGGCGGAGATAGTTCGCGCGGCCACCGCGCCGAGTCTTTCCGGTTTGGCGCGATCCGAGCACGAGCGACGAAATGTTCGTGCTTCATGTTCCGAGTCTGCTACGGACAGGAGTACGCGTTAGTTTCTGGCGCTGGAGTCCGGACATTCTTGCGTGCTTTGTGACAGTCTGCAGTTTGACTCTACTCTGTCTTCGCCAAAGAAACACGTGACCGTATACGTATGATCGACCAGCGTCGCTCTTTCTTAAACTTTACAGGGCTAGTGTAAGTTTCGTCCTTCCTTTTAACTGCTAAGCTGTTCTTAGCCGAGACATTTATTTGTCCGGGATTCGCAGTAACGGAGATGACCATCATATGTACGGGTATGTTCCCCGTACATATGAATTGGGTAAATACCACTACTCACCACCCGTCCATCGAAGGCAGCAGTTAGTCCAAAAATGGGTATGTGCTAAGAAAAAATTCTATTCGTCTAATTTCTGTCTAAATAAAGTCTGCCTAATTACTAAAAAAAGCTTAAAGGGGCCCTGCAACACTTTTTGAGCATGGTCTAAAACGCTGCCGGTTGGTAGTAAAGGCGCCCGACAACACGCGAGCTAAATATTACAGCGCAGCATGCAGCCTGGGATTTACAATAAGTTATCAAAGTCAGCTGAAAATTGATTTCTCTTCTCCCAACAAATCACGCAATATGCCCGAAAATCACACGTATAGCAAGCCCATTTATCAGCAATGGGCTGATTTGAACATGGCGTGCTCACTCGTTACAGAGATCGCCGTGGGATGCCGCTACTTGTTCACGCGTGCACGTGCGGTCACACTGAAAAAGCCACGCATTTGAAGGGGGAAAAAAGAAAAAGTCCTCAAGGTCACGAGGAGCGCGCGACGTTTTTCAGTGGCCCTGTTATCCCTCCTTGCTTATCTCCCAGCGCTTTCGTCGGGACGAGAGAAGAGAATGCAATTGGAGCATGCGACCAACCTTCGTAACTCCACTCGCACTCAACGGATTCTTAAAATTTTTGTGGCGTTGCATTCGTGAGGCAATAGGCTTTTCCAGTGAATTAATTCTATGGTTACCTGAAAAAGCGTTTCAGGGCCCCTTTTATAGCGAGCTCACTTTTGACGTTCCGGTTTCGTTCAAAAGAGAGCTTAGTACACTGTCCTGTTGGGAATCGAGCGACCTTATTTTGTGCTGACTTTAGGGTCACGTTGAAAGAAGTTACTTTATCTTTACAAAACCAATGCTGTAGTAAGAGGCTTGATACATACTCGCGGCGTCCCTCCGTCCGTCCGTCCGTGCCCTTGAACGGCGCGAGCCTCTACCCCTCACACTCTCTCTGCAATCACGTGATGGCGCAGCGTCTCGCTGCAGCAGTCGAGTTACCGGATCCCACCCATCCGCACGCGTCTCCGCTGCAGCCCGGCCCCAACCCGCTCTCTCGTGCGAGAAGGGAGACCGGCGGCGCATCGCGTTCATTCCGAGAGAGAGAGAGAGAGAGAGAGAGAAAGCGTCTTTATTCATAGAGGCACGGAAAAAGGAGGGCGTGGGAGGAACTTCTAGTCTGGCGTCCCTAGGACGACTCCAATTGACGAGTAGGGCCGATGACCGTCTCAATGGGCACCGGCGTTCGGTGCCCATTGCCTAGTGCCCAATTTATTGCTTCGACGTTCCAGCTCGTGCCGTGTCACCGAGTGGACCAGGATCTCTTCGAGACGTTCGAGCACGCCAACTCGACCGCCAAGGACGCCATCCCCGTCAGGCACGACGGCAAAGTGGTCATGGTGGACAGCCTAACCTACACGATGGCGTTCGCGAACTGCACCAACGCTTCGGAGCCAGCGACACAGCAGTTCTTCTGGTCAGTATACTCCGCAGGAAGCGAAGAGCTTCGTACAATATACGGGTGACAAGCCTGAAGCAAGTGCAGCTAGAGCTGGGCAGCCGTCTTTGTTTCTCTTCAGTTTTCTTTCTCCTTCCTCCTCTCTTTCCTTTTATCATTTTCTGTTGTTTTCTGTCTCTTTTCTCTCTTGATTTCTACTTATTTCTTCATCTCTCTTCATTTGTTTATTTCACTTTCTTTCTCTTTAGCTTTATTTCTATCCACACCCACACCCCCACTGCACATTCTCGTGCGTCGCGTATAGTGCCACATGCTTGCGTCTGGTGCCAACTGTCATACTAAGTCAACGCCTCCTAGAAAAACTATGCCTGGAACGTCGCTCTCTTTTCAGTTGGGAGCCTCGTGCCAGCACGCGATCTCGGAGGCCATGCCTCCTGCCTTGTGTTGCGATCGGCCGCCGCGTGAGACCGCTCGCCTCCGTACCGCTCAGTCACGTGACATTACCGTACCGCTTTGTCACGTGACATCACGGCTGCTCGGAGGCAACTGTGAGGGCATTGCTGTGTTCGCAGGAGGCGGCCGTCGGAGACGCTCGCCTTCATACCGAAGGAGGAGGGTAAAATCAGAGGGTAGGGCAGTGCATTAGCGGCTCACCTTCCAGGCATAGTTTTTTTATGGGGCGTTGTCCTCAGTCATAGAAGCACTATTATAGAGCAACTAAATAACCACTACTGCCTAAAAGTTATGAAATTATTAAATTCTCGAATTAAGTTGATCTGGAATTATGTTATTAAGTGTATGCCCAATATTTTGCAACTGTAGTGACATTTGACAATACTAGTTAGATTAGCAACAGTGATAAACACAGGAAATTATGCAGTCATCTTGAAGCATTGTTACCAACAGCTAGCTTACTGTTGAAGCGTTAATTCGCAAACTGGTATGATAAACCTGCACGCCTATGGTTGGTCGACTTCCGTCGGAAATGTTCGCCACCGTAACCCGTCGCAGTTTTCTAGTTTCCTGGCCATAGATCTGCTTAGATTGAGCGGTCCGCTTTCCAGGAAATACGTTGTGAACCTGAGCGATGGCATTGAAAACTTGGGTGCCGTACAACCCAAGTTGTTAATCTGCTTGCTGATCGCCTGGATCTGCGTCTTCCTGTGCATCTTCAAGGGCATCAAGTCGTCCGGCAAGGTGAGCATTTGCGCCTCTTATAGACGTGATCGCTGTATAGTCTCTTTGCTCGAAAGAATACATGTGTGTACGAACAGCAGACGACGGTCGCGACTAACTAAAAGCGGATAACTGAGCAGTGAGGATAAGCGCGAGCTTTACTCGAAGCTTTGCAGTTTCTACGCTTATGCACGGTGTCCCGAATATCACGCAGCGTTAAACACTACGGTTATTTCCATGGCTCGGCCCTAGGTGGTGCTGGTGTCGGCCACTGTGCCTTTCCTCATCCTGGGCGCGTTTCTCGTAAGGGGTGTGACGCTGCCCGGTGCCTCGATGGGGCTGCAGTTCTACTTCATTCCCGACTGGTCCAAGATGTTACGTTTCGAGGTGAGTGGCACCAATCGGTCCAACAGTGCAAACGCACGTGTGCGCAAAGGGGGGGGGGGGGTAAGGGGGTGACGCAACCCCCTCCCTCTCAGTTCACTTATTTAGAAGGGGTGCGTAATACACTTTCGCATTTACGGTCAGGCATGTTTTTGACGGTAATGGCGGCTGAAGGCCCATGATGTGGCACTCCAGGAAGTATTTATTTCTCATCTTCACTTCAGGAGAGCCAGTGACCAAAGGCACTTGACTGTAAGAAGCAGGTCATCACTTCGTCTTCATTCTTTTTCTTCTTCTTGTGAAGCATGTTGTACTTGTACTAGTCCAGCGCGCAACGGGAAAGAAAAAGCAAACGACCGAGCCGGCCAGCACAAAAGGACAGAACGTTTTTCCATTGTCCAAACGCTCTGGTCTTTTGTGTTGGCCGGCTCGGCTATTTCTTCGTTCCCGTTGTACCTGTTCAAGTACGACAAACTAACTCACCCCATCTTCAACACTTGTGAAGCACGTCCTTCGAACTCAACAAACAGGGAGGGAGGGTGACAAAATTTATTTCCCCCGAATGGGGAACCCTGTGTACGCCTATGAGCACAAATACTATTAACCTACTAGTGACAGTGCTCAGACTTCTTCGCTATATAGTCGGATACCATTTAACATGTGCGAAGAGATGTAGTCCGAAGCCCGGCCGCCGATCGCCTGCTAAACTAAAGGTAAATGAATACTCCCTCTTCTGCACTCGGTGACGGTGGCCTAGCCAGATATTTTTTTCGGGGGGGGGGGGGGGGATCAACTATATTTTATGCGTATTCATGGCGCTGCATTTGTATGTGTGCGTCTATATGTACGCAATCGAAAAATTCTGGGGGGCATGAACCCCCCCCCCCCCCCTCTTGGCTACGCTCATGCTCGGAAATGTTCTCTAAAGGGTGTGTCACAGGCCGTCCGGCTCATGACGTCAGTCTGGAGTGCGCGTCCATTGGTGCATGGCCTTCGTGCATACACTCTTGAGGCGGAAAGAGCGCGGATTTCTAAAGTCGAATACGGCTATATACGAGTGAGTGAAGTTTAAAAAGAGCCCCGACTTGGACGTGTGAATAGATATTGGTGAAAAATGTAGAGACCGGGAACTATAGTGACAGATTCAAGTGTCCTTTTCTTGTCATGGATATATTTGTAAGCTTAAATCACGTTCAAAAGTCACATTTTCATTAATGAGTTGTAATAAACTGGTTTGTTGTTCGATAAATTTCGGTTTCTTCACATATTCCTTGCTTTGTCTGCTATAAACTCAGTCTTGCAGACAGGTCTGTACTTAATAAAATGTTTATCTAACGTTTTTCTATAAGTTCTTATAAAAATTTGTAAATGCGGCTGCTTTGTTCAAACATTTAAATTTTGTGTACATTACTGCTTTTTTTGCGCTTTAAAGTCTTTGACGGGTTACGGCACCTTGTCAGGCATTAATTTGCCTTTTTGTCAACCCTGCCCCTTACTTGTGTCTACTGTACTTTGTGTACTGTACTTTGTGTAATAATAAAAAAACCACATAAAAAAGAAAACGGTATCTCTTGCGTGGCCTAGTGGAAGAACCTCGAGGCTGGATTATGGAATCGTTCACTTGGCTGTTCGTAGTGCGACGCTTTTATATTCCGTGTCGCTGATGGTGGAACTGTGGCCATCACTGGAATGTGTACCGCTCGTGTTAGTATTGCCGGCCGCCATGTTCCCGTTTTATTTACGGTGCTTGAAAATTGCCCCCATGACCTAATCTTCGGCATGGACTTCCTATCGACGCATTCTGCCCTCATCGATTGTGCCGCCGGTACTCTCTGCCTAGAACTTCCTCTTCTCCCGGATTCTCACCCTGAACTCCCGAACAGCTTGTGCACCACTGACTTCTTCCGGATACCGCCTAAATCTCTCACATTCATCGAATTGGCAACACCCTCTCCCGTGCTCGACGGTGATTATATCGTGATGCCGATTACTGATGTTCTCCTGGCGCGTGACATTACTGTCCCACACTCTGTCGTAAGCATGACCTCTAACCGAACATATTTACCTGTTATCAAATTCGGTTTCATAAAACACGTGCTACCCCAAGGAATTTCGGTCGCCACACTAAGGCCCTTAATTGACGACCACGTCACCTGTTTTACGGCAGACGTATGTCCCGAACACCCACATCACTCGCAGGATGCCACGTGCCTCGATGCGACCTTACGCTCCATGATCGCCCCGGACCTCAAACCTGAAAAGTCAACCGCGCTATGCCGCTTTCTGGCTTCATACCGCGACATATTCGACATCGACCACCGTCCACTCGGCCAGACTTCACTCGTCAAGCACCGCATTAACACGGGTGATTCTCATCCCATTCATCGGCGACCATACCGGGTGTCTGCCACCGAGCGTAAAATAATTCAACAAGAAGTCACCAAGATGTTAGCCAAAGGAATTATTGAACCCTCTTCGAGCCCTTGGGCGTCCCCCGTTGTGCTCGTTAAAAAGAAAGATGGCACCTGGCGCTTCTGCGTGGATTACCGTCATCTGAATAGAATCACGAAAAAGGACGTTTACCCTTTACCCCGCATCGATGACGCTCTCGATTGTCTCCATGGCGCCCGATACTTTTCCACACTATACCTACGTTCCAGCTACTGGCAGATTGCTGTCGACGAAAAATACCAAGAGAAGACTGCATTTATAACTCCAGACGGCCTATATCAGTTCAAGGTTATGCCATTTGGGCTATGCAACGCCCCAGCCACGTCCGAGAGCATGATGGACTCTCTGCTACAAGGGTTCAAATGGTCAACATGTCTTTGTTATCTTGACGATGTCGCTGCATATTCCTCAACATTTGAGACCCACCTTCAGCGTTTGTCAGCTATTCTCGACATATTCCGCACTGCAGGCCTCCAATTGAACTCGTCGAAGTGCCGCTTCGGACGCCGGCAAATTACAGTGTTGGGCCACCTTGTCGACGCCTCTGGTGTGCAGCCGGACCCCGAGAAAATTCGTGCAGTCACCAGTTTTCTTGTACCCCAGTCAGCCAAAGACATTCGGAGTTTTGTAGGACTTTGCTCCTATTTTAGAAGGTTTGTGAAAGATTTCGCAACCATCGCTCGACCCCTCACAGAGCTTCTAAAGAAAGACGTCACATTTACGTGGGGTACCGACCAAGCTGCTGCTTTATCTCACCTAATCACGCTACTGACGACTCCACCCATATTGGCTCCCTTTGACCCATTCGCTCCGACGGAAGTTCGAACCGATGCTAGTGGTCACGGAATCAGAGCCGTGTTAGCCCAGCGCCAACGGGGACACGACCGAGTTGTCGCCTACGCTAGCCGCCTCCTCACAGCTGCTGAGCACAACTATTCTGTTACGGAGCGTGAATGTCTTGCTCTTGTTTGGGCAGTCTCAAAGTTCGGCCCATATTTATATGGCACTAATTTCTCTGTGATAACTGACCATCATGCGCTATGTTGGCTTACGTCACTGAAGGATCCTACTGGCCGGCTCGGGCGCTGGGCTCTGCGACTCCAAGAGTATACCTTTACGGTGACGTACAAGTCCGGACGCCTACATCAGGACGCAGACTGCCTGTCGCGCTACCCGGTCGCTGAGTCGAGCACTATGCATGACACCGACACCGAGCCTTGCGTCTTTTCTCTTTCGCAAATGACATGCATCGGTGACGAGCAGCGCTATGATGCGTCCTTGCGTGCTATCACTGAGCGCCTCGAATCACCATCTTCCAGTCAGTCCGATCGCTCATTCGTGCTCCACGATGGTGTATTATACCGCCAAAGTTTTGAGCCGGATGGACCGGCTCTGCTGCTTGTCATTCCGAAACACCTTCGCTCGGAAGTTCTACATGAACTTCATGACCTTCCGACTGCTGGTCACCTTGGTGTGTCACGCACTTACGACCGAATACGCCGACCTTCTACTGGCCAGGGCTTGCACGCTCAGTCAGAAGATACGTTGCAGCTTGTGAGAAATGTCAGGGCCGCAAAACGCCATCGACACTTCCCGCCGGACGCCTTCAACCACTTGATATTCCGTCAGAACCGTTCTTCCGCGTTGGCTTGGACCTACTTGGCCCTTTTCCCTTGTCTTCCTCGGGTAACAAGTGGATAGCCGTGGCCACCGACTACGCCACGCGTTATGCCATCACATGAGCTCTCCCAACAAGCTGCGCCACAGACGTCACCGACTTCCTCCTCAAGGACGTGATTTTGCAACTCGGAGCCCCACGGCAGCTGCTTACAGACCGTGGCCGCACCTTTTTGTCGAAGGTCATAGCCGACATCTTGCAGTCCTGTAAAACGAGACACAAGCTGACTACGTCATACCACCCGCAAACCAATGGACTCACGAAGCGCCTAAATCGATCTCTTACAGACATGCTCGCTAAGTATGTTTCTACCAACCACACCGACTGGGATCTCGCGTTGCCGCACGTCACATTTGCCTACAATTCTTCGCGCCATGACACTGCCGGTTACTCTCCATTTTTTCTGCTGTTTGGCCGAGAACCAACATTGCCTCTAGACACCGTCATACCGTCTCCTGGAGTACCGACCAGTGAATATGCCATGGACGCTATCACTCGGGCCGTTCACGCACGCGAAATCACCCGTACTCGCCTTCTGACCTCTCAAGAGAAGCAACGGCGCTTGTATGACCAACGACACCGCGACGTACACTTTCGGCCCGGTTCTTTGGTGCTACTCTGGTCTCCGACCCGTCAAGTTGGCTTGTCAGAAAAACTGCTTACTCGCTACACAGGCCCATACCGAGTCCTTCGTGTGTTTACGCCTGTAACATATGAAATTGGTCCTGCCACCCCGTTGCCCCTCATGTGCCCAACAGGCTACCGATATTTTACATGTTGCGCGCTTGAAGCCCTACAACTCTCCTAGTGACGTTGACGTCTAAATGCGCCGCGACGGCGCTTGCGCCGCCGGGGGTTATGCTACATGCATGTGTATTGACATTCTAGGGGGCGACGCGCGTTTGTGCCTGACGAGGAAGACGAAGAGTTGCCCCCGCTCGATCGCTGGTGAACCGGGCACGCCATTACCGCTGGTTTTGAATATATCTAATCCCCAGCCTCGTCGTTACGGCGTCTCTTCTTTTCCGTAACATATTATCATTCATCTCCGCTCTATTATGTGTCACTTAGGAGGTAAGAAGGGGTGGCGTTCTAATAAGCGGTGCTGATTTCGCTCCATCTAATGGAACACGTCGAGCCGTGCCGCATGCGCGTTGAGTGCGCGCGTGCATAGCTTAACCGCCGAGGATGAACAAACGCCACTCTCGCGCTCGCATGTACTTACCACGGATCACGCCATGTGCTGTGTGTATACGACTTCATTGTCGGCGCAGATCTGAATAGATGTTTCAAGGTGTTTTCCGCGTCACCAATCCGTGATTAGACTCTCTAGCCGGTAAGCTTATCATTGCTCTAAAGAAAACGAGCATTAGCACACTTTTTCTCTGTTGTCTTTTTCTTTCCTAACTGTTCTGTGCATTGTTAACGCTTTTGAAATGAAGCGTTTTACAAATTCGGTTGTCGGTCGTTATGAGGGGAATTTTGTATTTACATTTATCCGTCATTCTTTCTCTGTTTCACTGGTGCTCCGATGCTCCACCCCAGGGGAACACCCAACAACTCCTCGCGACATCCTTGAAGACCATAGAAGAGATACGACAAAAGATGTGTTAATCCCTATCCCGGATCTTACCGGTGATCAGGCACGAGATCGGTGTCGAGTACAAACCGACACGTACCCTCACTCGCAAAGAAACTACCGTATAAATCTCGCAATAGTACGCGCGCGCAGCTGTCCATGGTGGCGAGTACGCCCAACTCTTGCCCACATTAAGTGGGAATTCAGATCGCGTCCCCAAAGCACACATTGTTCCCTTTCGGGGACAACGTCTCGAGATAGGCAGTGGGAGGCCTGGCTTGCTAGGAGGGGTCGGGAGGGCCAGCTCGTTATGCTCGACCAAGCCCGGCGAGCCGCAGAGGCCGGTGGAGCTCTGGAATGAGGACTCCACCCACCTGCCCAGAAACCGTTTAGTTAATAGAAGTTGTTCATCATCATCATATTTCATTGAAATGGAATATTCTTCAGCCGTCGTATACATGTAGCTGCAGCATTTTCTTTGACGATTCAAGAAGGAAGCTTGGGAATATTACTATCGCCTCCGAGATCCACGCTTAGTGCTCTGGTGAAAATCTCTGAGGTCACTCTTTGTTGTCTATGCAGGTGTGGCAGAAGGCAGCGCAGCAAGTGTTCTACTCGCTCAGCGTGAGTCAGGGCGTCATCATCTGCATGGGCAGCTACAACGACTTCAGGAACTCACTCTACAAGTGAGGTCTTGCAAAGTATGCCGGGAGTCCGCATCGGTCTTTTTTAATGCGCATGGCGTGAAAAACCAAAGGGACACGATAGAAACAAAAGTAGTTTCACTCATATTATTCAATAACGCACTATAACGGTGTAATGTACACTGCCGTCCTTTATGAAAGGGAACACGCGAGTGCGTGGCCTACGCTCTGCGGTGGCCATCAACCGACAACTGAAGAAAGCACGTACGCTTTTGGCGCCATCCATCGGCCAGCAAAATAACCAGCCCTGGCCTTTCATAGTGCTGCTAGATTACGCCCCCGCTCCAGTTTGGCCGCGGGCGAGGCCGCTAAAAGCGAATGTGATTTTTTTATATCTGTCGCTTCATGGTACTGTAGGCAGCCGCATCAGAGCGCAGACCACGACCGCATGCTTGTGTAATCGCATTCTATGGCCTCCTATCCCGGATTTTTGAAGGAGCGCGCGCACACTTTCAACGAGCTGAGTCAGGCCTATAGGGCAGAGCGTCAGCTCTATCCTCCACCGCACAAGTCCCTCAGCAACAGACAGGCCACCCCCTGGCGCCAGCTACGGACTCGTGACACTCTCCCTTCTCTCATTCTATCACACCCCATTTTCGTAACAACAGCCTGTACTCTCTGCCCCGAATCTCATGCTTCTGCTATACACATCCTTTCTCACTGCCCGGCGGATCCTCCCTCACGGGGCCTAGAACATCTCAAGACCTGGGAGGACTGGGAGACCCTACTGCGTTCAGAGGACCCGGTTGAGCAGACAATGGCTGCCGACCGGGCTGCCAGCGTCATAGAGCACCACCAAATGAACGCTTGAGCGTAGCGGGATTGTGCGGGTGCCCAGGACCCTGCGTGCTCCAAGCTCCTCTGTTGAAATTAAGTTTTCCTCCTCATCCTACGCGTATCCAGGAGAGAAAGCGCACCGCCTATATTTCGTCACATGAAAGGCCGATGACGGAAAAGGGAGATTGTGGGGCGGGGCGCGTTGCATGGCCCCTCACCATAGGTCGGCATACAGTAGACTCACTCACCCAGATTAAGATGCGACTGTGAGTTCGAGTGAGTCCGCTTGAGGAAAGTTTTGATCAGTCCGATTGCACCTCCCTCCAGACGCCCATGACTCTAACACCGTGCCCATGATTACTGCATTCCATTGATTCACACTTGCAGCCAACCTGCGTTTCTCTCTCGTTCAGCTTCTATCTTTCTGTTTTTCTTCGTGCAGTGACGTTTACGTCATCGCCGTGGCCGATCTGGTGGTCAGCTTCTTGGCTGGCGTAGTGGTTTTCTCGGTGCTGGGAAACATGGCCTACGTGCTGGGAGAGGAGGTCGCCAACGTCGCTTCGGGAGGTCGGTACACAGACGCCCTCGAAGTACGCATATTGTGTACACACGTATTGTCGAAGAAATTACCCGAAAAGGAAAGCACTGTTGCAAAGTTAACAAGGAATGTATTTTACGTGTAGCTTTCGGGACTGTTGTGGTCTCATAACAAATATAGCATTTTTTTTCAGAGAGGCGCTAAAATTACAGTGAACTTACCTTTTTTTTTTGGGGGGGGGGGGGGGGTATGGTAACAGGTATGCGCTTTGGTTCTGTAGCTTTCACAGTGCTGTCAAGATAAGTTGTCACCGAGCGTAACTCTCCACTCTTGCTCAAGCTATTGGTCTCGCGGTGTTGATTCGACGTTCCTGCGACAATATGCTACTGAGAGTACTCGGTCCTCTGAGATATCCGAGATAAGTTTACCGTGAACGACAAAGCTCACTCAAAAAATCGCATAGAAGCCATTATAAGTACTTCGTCGACGCGGAAGGCATTCTTCTTACAGTGACCAAGTGAAGAATTTCGGAGGGAAATGAGAAACAATATGACAAATTGTAAAATTCATCGCTACTGCGATTACTTCTCACCATACTACCACTTGCAGAGAGTAATCGTGGTGGGCTAAAAGGAGAACGTCCATGATTCATTTCTCAATGATAGATGCAGCCTTGATTATTACCGAGAAACAGTAAACTGGGAAAAAAAATTCAGCCAGCTCCGCTTCACAGATTCTGATGAAAAAGCGAAGCTGGTAGCCTTCTCTTTATCAGGCTATCGTATTTCCATGTTTTTGCGAGTTTTCCAGATATGTTATACTGCTTAATTCTCCTTACAGAACACTCTTCGTTAACCTGTCAAGTGGTAATATAGCCACCACCTTTTCATCCACTTGATCTCTTGTGACAGTGGTGAGACTATGATAACGTGCACGCCATTTGCTAGGCCTTCCTTCTTTCAGCGGAAGTTGTGTGTAGTAGGATTTACGCGATTTCCGTGACACAAACGCGTTTATGATGACGGTGTTTTTTTTTTCATATAGGCCGCACAGATTTCTGTGGCAGGTACCCGTTTGTTGGGCCAACTGTCGCGTTCAGTTTTACTGGACCAGTTGAGAGTAGTGGGGTTTAGCCAGTGTGTGTGGCACATAACCGTTCATGAGGTCCACAAAAGTTACCACGGATCTTGGACATAAAAGCCTCGGCTAAGGACAGCCTCACTGTTTACAAGGGGTGTTTTTGTTAACCTTTTAACTTCATTGCAGCATTTTGACATAAACTTAAAGAAATTTAAAGTGGTTAAAAGGGGAAATTACCGCCAACATGGAGCGAACGTGCAACTTTCCAATGTAACACGTCCTATGCTTTACCTAATGAAATGCATGCAAACGACTCATCGGCGCCTACATAAACGTGTTCCTTTCCAGACGGTGCCATAGCATGGTGTATGTAGCGGCTAGTGTGTGCGCATGCGGACTTGATTGGTCGTGAGCTCGAATCCCGTTCGTTTGCTGTAAATTTTCTCCGATTTATTTCTGAATGTGACGCTCCCACATCGATTGTACATCTGATCACATGTCTCAACTTAGTTCAATACGCCGGCTGAGTCAACCAAAATATAATTTTTCTCTTGCGCGAGGTAGCAGTTGCTCCCTGAAGAAGCAACCGCGAGAGGGCGGAGTAACTTCGCAGTTAACTCCCCAAAGTGAGGAATGGCTGTGGCATGTTAATTACTCCCCTAAAGGAGCAAACTTGATACCCTCTTTCTTCTTTACTTATTAGTGCGCATAGTGCAGCGGTGGTCGTCTCCCTGTCCACTTTATAGGGTGTCTGTACATGTAAACCTCAGCTAGTGTAAATGAACGCCTCTTGCAGCCATAAGGGCGACTGCAGAACGCTTTTTTTTTCGCTAGCTGGTAGTGAAAGAGTCCAGGCGTTGATGTGTTCGGGAGTCTGCCCTGAGGACCGGAGCCAGCCAGAGTCTCGGGGAGATATCGAGGAGAGGAGCCGGGAGCTGCTAACAGTGACTTTTATTTACATTATTTACAGGTAGCGTGTTGCTACATGATGATGTTAGCATCATGGAAGCCCTCGAGCTTCTGTGAGCTTCTCGGAGCTTGTGAGAGCTTGTCAGGAGCGTCTCAGCGCTCGCGTTTTATGACCTGGCCTTCCCAGGATTCCCTCCCGAAGAACACAATGGAGGCCAGGAAAGTCCAATGAAAATTGCCATCTTCACTTCCGCCCCCAAAAGGGGAACGTGAAACGCCGCCTCCTTTCCGACCCAAGAAAGAGGGAACAAGAACGCCCAGTTCGTTCCATGGTAAGGGAGAAAACACTGCAGACCACACATGACACAGCACAGCACGAAGACGTTGAGTCCTACGTGGAAGTGAACTCGGCAGTCCGTTGCAGTGATGGGTATGCGGCGCCAAGCGGACCACGTCTTGCGGAATCGGTGTCATGGCGGAGAATGTGAGAACGCACTCTAACACGGATCTCAGTCGCTTGGCTTATTGTCCGCGGCACTCCAACGATCAAAGACGTACAGAGATTACTATCCTTTTTTTAAGCCGTTTGGACTAAAAAGAGCCCTCCGTAGGTCGTCAGTCGGTCGGGTAAGTTCAAAAGGTTCTACGAGGGGAGGTGGCTACGCCGCAAATTTATCAGTTTGGCTTGCGTGTCGTTGTCGCTTGTGGTTCACCTCTGGAAGCACTGTTCCACAACCGTCTCACGTCAAGCTGCGCCATGTCAGGGATGCCGATCATAACAGCGTCCATGTCGGAATTTCGCGTTCCGTGTTCAACGATCTGTCACGACATCGAACCTCCTGATTCCTTTGAACTTGCCACCACCTACTCGTGCTTACTGCTGGCTACTGCAAGTTTGTCTCCCGTTTCTTCTTCTTCCTATAATAACATGTCTGTGTTAAATACCGCTTCGATAAGACAGCTTCATGAACGAGCACTTGGTCGCGTTGTCTGATGTATGCCGCAGGCTTCGCGCTGGCCTTCATCACGTACCCAGAGGCCGTGACCCTGATCACGTTCCCGCACCTCTGGGCCTTCGCCTTCTTCAGCATGCTCTTCTTCCTCGCCATCGACTCTGAGGTACGCTCGCGCGCCAGCGATCCTATATAAACCGACGTGTACCAACCGTTAGGTAATTGTTGGAGGTTTTAGTACACAGAAACCACAATATGATTATGAAAGACACCGTACTCCCAGTGGCACCACTTCGGGCTTCTTTATTAACGTGCGCATGAATCTAAGCCGGCGGGTATCTAGTATTCCGCTTCCATATAAATGCGGCCGCCACGGCTAGGATTTGGTCGCGGGTACCAGCGGGTCAGCAGTCCGGAACCATGAGCACCCGATCACCACTGCGGATTTGCACCGAACGTTAGGCTCAATAGTTTCGTACAAGGGTGTTGCCTGCAACAAGAGATTAATTAGGTCGAGTTGGATGAAATGCATTGCCTGATATTTTAGAGGAGAGGGGAGGTGGTGTAGGTGTGGGGGAAGGGGGAGGGGGGCTAAAACACTTTCATGAACACATCTCGGCTATGGCGGGACGCGTTTTGCTTTAAGGGCCAAGCTCTCTAAGGTCGAGGTTTTTCCGTTGGCGGCGTTGGTGTACGCCGGCTTCGTGATGACGATGACAATGGCGATAATGATGATGATGATCACAGACGGCTGGCTTGTGCAGTATATGACGTCTCGATATGCTCCACGATGCATTTTGTGCGACCGGAAACAACCAACAACTGCCAAGGAGACGTGCCTATAGGCCTCGTCTTTGCCAATTTGAGGCTATATCTGATACCACAAAGCAGTAAATAATGAAGGCAAAACGAAATTCACGACTCCACACAGCATGCCATTTATGACTAAGGAACATTGTGTATAACTGTACACCAATTTGCCACTCGTTTATATACATAAGTGGTCGATGCCACGGCCGATTTACGGTAATACCGAACGATCTCACTGCTTCGCCCACTCTTCATCATTCACTTCGTGGATATGCTGTGATATTTTTTTTTTTCAACACTGGTGTTGATAGCGTCGATAACTTTTCTTGTTTGATGAAGTATCCATGATTTTTTTTGCTTCCTTTTATAGAGACGCTCGCTCTCCTCCCGTTTAGCTTTACAAACTACTGATTGACAAGTTTAGAAAAAACTTCGCGTCGATTTCCGGCGTTGAAACTGCCTCATTTTCCCCATTCCTCGTTTGTCGTCTTACCGCAGTTCGGCTTGGTGGAGGGCTTCCTGACACCGCTCAAGGACGCCTACCCTGTCCTGCAGCGAAACGTGACGGCGCTGGCTTTCTTCGTCTGCGCCCTGGGCTTTGTCTTGGGAATCCCCATGACGACAAGAGTACGCAACCATGAGTAAACCGTCGCGAAATTGCCTTGCGCACAGTATAGACAAACGCTCATGTAGGAGGCAGACCATCGCTCAACTCTTTAACTCTTTATTTTTGGAAATTACAGACCACGTGAGCTCCAGCAGTCTTCACTGAACATGCGCGAAATGAACAGAACAATCGTTTCCCCCCATTCACTGGGTGTCTTTTTTTTTCCTTTGTGTGCTCTGAAATTCAAAATATATATATATATATACGGGCAACTCACCCAACTTTCAGTTCGGTAAGAAAACAATCTTAAAAATGGTTTAGGTTGACTTTAAATTAGTAACCCTTAAACCACCTACGATATTTTCCTAGCATTTCCAATAATCACGTGCATCGCGCTCAGGATGTCGCTGCGATGAGTGACTCCGAATGCGGAAGTGCTACGCGGTGCGGGTGCGCCACAAAAAAAAAAATGCAATCTCATGGTTCTCCTCGGTATCCCGGGGACAGCGCTCGTCGTGACGTCACCAGGGTGCATCTTGGATGGCATCAGGAGCAGGCGCTGTTGATTGGCCGAACAAACGGGTGCTAGCAAGAGCGCGCTTTCCGCTCTTCATCGTCGTGTTCATCGGCGCACGGCGAGGAGGAGCAGGGTGGGCGCGCACCTGCTAGCACCCGCTTGTTCGACCAATCGACAGCGCCTGCTCGTGCTGCCATTCGAGATGCACCCTGGTGACGTCACGACGAGCACTGGGGATGCTGACGAAGAGCAGCGCTGATCGTGACGTCACGAGGGTGCATCTCGAATGACAGCAGGTGCAGGCGCTCTCGATTGGTCGGACAAGCTGGTGCTAGCAGGTGCGCTCGCTCGCTGCTCTTTCTCGTCGTGTTCGTCGACGCACGGAGAGGAGTATCACTCGGCGAGGAGGAGAGATCAGCCGATGAGCGGAGTGTTGCGAAGGAAGGGGTGAAACGAGTGAGCGCCGCGTTTCGATAAGCACACGCGCCCTACTCCGCTATTACGGCACCATTTCAAAAAAAAAAAAAAATCGCGGTTGCGTGTTTGTTGTGTCAACTCATTGGCAACTTAAGCACCACAACTAAATTTCTACCTTCGGATGGTTTAGAAGACGTACGGATAACAGTGTGACAATTTTTACTTGCCCCCCCCCCCTCCACCCACTGTCGCGAAATCAAAGGAAAACGCAACGGGTGCAAGAAAGGGTAGTAAAGCGATGACACGTTTCTCAAAACAGCCTTACCTTAGATATCCGGCCTGGATTGATTAAGGGTATACTCACTAAAGGTATACTCATTAAAGGTATACTCAATAAAGTATACTCGTTAAAGGGGAGTACTCATTAAAGGTATAGACATTAAACATATGGGTATTGAAGATATGGACAGATGTGGCGCAGCACTTAGATGTATAAAAGAGGGAGGGGCACCTGCCTCGCCCCCTCCCTTGCGTGCATGCGCTTGTGCCTGTAAAGCTTTCGCTTTAAAAATTGGCGCTTTTTTTGTGTGTGTGTACGCAGGGAGGCATGTACATCCTGAACCTCCTGGACACGTACATGGGAGGCCAGCTGCTTATTATCATCGCAGTGTGCGAGTCTATTGCAGTGTCCCTCTCCTACGGTACGCCAGTTCACGAAAGGCTACTGTTACTCGGACACATAGTATGCTCGTTAGTTCTCATATTCGGCCCCGCCGCGGTGGTCTAGTGGCTAAGGTACTCGGCTGCTGACCCGCAGGTCGCGGGCTCGATTCCCGGCTGCGGCGGCTGTATTTCCGATGGAGGCGGAAATGTTGTAGGCCCGTGTACTCAGATTTGGGTGCACGTTAAAAAACCCCAGGTGGTCGAAATTTCCGGAGCCCTCCACTACGGCGTCTTTCATAATCAAATGGTGGTTTTGGGACGTTAAACCCCACAAATCAATCAATCAATTAATCAATCAGTTCTCATATTCGAGAGCCGCTTGTTTGTGTACCTGTTTACGCGTGCTGTTCGTGGAACGCTGGGATACCTCACCTGAGACAAAGATGTGAGCTGCTGCGGTTGTGATGCCATCGTTCATGTCATGGTGTAACTTGAAGAGGACGCGCAAATGATATTCCGATAACGGATCATGTGCTGCTCTGTAGATACAAGGTGTCAGCAACCATGTGACCTGAAAATAGCCGATTATATCCGACAATTCACATTAACCGAGTTCCGTCTGAACCGCACCCTGCACTGCACTTGCAGCGCTGAACTGTCACCGCTCGAAAGAAGTTCGAGTGGTGACACTTCCGAGTTATCAACCAGCTATTACTCATGCTGATTGACAATTATTATTTATCGTGCTATCTCACGTAGAACATTCACAAAAAGATTTTAAAATTCGAAACATTCTAAATTCCGGTCTGCAAATATGGCTTTACGTGAATGATCTAAATCTATACCAAGGAACTAGCGTGACAGCAGTGTATGCCGGCGTTATCTTGAGAAAATATCCCGTGGATCGTTGTATATTGTGCGAGACTACCGCCAAAAAGATGCGGTAGTATACAGGGGGATAACAGAATTTTTCTTCTTTTTTTTTCTTATACAGGCGTCAACCGTCTGTCACTTGACGTCGAGTTCATGCTCAACAACGTGCCGGGATCACTGGTCAGGTTCTGCTGGCAGTTTATTTGTCCCATTGTCCTAACCGTAAGTCTTCGTCCGCAACAATTTCTTCAGCGTTGCTACAACGTCAAATTAGAATTCCATTAAGTGGAGCCGAGTCAATAAGTTGAACGTCATTACGCTCATTTGATAACGACGTGTCCAATATTCGCGTCACAACAGGTTTGGTGTGTCATAACGACAACATGGGTAGCCGACGTTCTAGCTGACTTTAAGAAAAAAAAATCAAATTCAGCTTCACTCTTGAAGAAGTGCGTTGCACGTGCAAGCAGCTGCAATGCCCGTTCGTACAGTTCCCACTACTCCGTTATTCATACCATCGATGACGTTAATGTTTGAGGTAAGCGTGTAGGGTTTTACCCGCCACTAGTACAATCTCGTTAGGGAGATGCGCATATTCGGTGTACAGAATGCGCACCACTTTTTGATACGCTTTATCGACTGTTTGCTTGTCACGGCAGTTGAGACGTACACGCGTAGTTTTCAGCGAGTTTCACCAGGTTGCTTGCCCCTTCAGAGGTAGCGACCAAACGCCGGTGAAGTGCAGATGTGAGGAGCAAGCGTGCGCTCTGTGAGACGGTGGCGCCCTCTCTGGCGCAGTGCATGAGTCAATCGCATGTGTCCGAAGCAGTTTTGGCGATTTAAGTTAATTAGCGCAATCACTTAGTCGTTATTTGTGTTAATTCTGTTATTTTAAACCTTGTTCGCTTGTTTTTGTCCGGTTTCGAGCATTCATAGCCGTGTTTTAGGTCCACATTGAGTGCTTGATTGTGAGCGTGACCACGCCATGTGAGATCTATGGATGGAAAAGGAGAGCCCCTGAAGCGCTGCGTACTTAAAAGCATACCTGTACAAGCCCTGAAATGTCAAGGGAACATTAGCGCAGGCTGCAGTTGGGGCGATGGAATTGGGTACCAAGGAAGGGAGATGTAGCCGAGTACTAGAAAAGGTTTGATGGGCTGACAAAATCCGGAAGTTTTGCAGGCATAAAATATAATGAGCTCACAAAAGGTAGAGTAAACTGGAGCTAATTAAGAAAGGCCTTCGTTCTACAATGGGCATAAAATAGGCTGAATGTGATCATGATGAAACGACATAAGAACAGTAGACGTGGGGTCATGTGACCCTTCTGTTCTCCCGTCACCAGTTGAACCTGACAAGGAATAACATTAAAAGGAAGCTGTGTTGTAACAATCGGGGCAGCAGGAGAATCGCATGGTGTTTATCAGTGCAAAAACCGACACAACAGAACGGAAACGAGCATTTTCGCGGATTTTGATGTTGGCTTCACCACAATGCACAAATCCGCCGAGTGAAGAGTTGGCTCTGCCGCAAAGTGTCGCATTGAGTGGCGGTGCACGCTTTACAGGCAGGACGCTGTCCGAGCTCGCGATAGTTGTCAACTACTGCAAAGATGGCCGCGCATTTTTGGGCGTGTTCTTAACATTCAGCAATGATTTTAGCCTGCCTCGTGTAAGATTCTTTCCTCTAACGCTTCAAGACCGAAACCTTCAAATCACCAACGGTGTGCGCGTTATCAGCGTGACATAGCATTCTTGGCGGTAAAGTGGCCAACGACGAGCTTTCGAGAAAGAGGACGCGAGCAAGCCAGATGACAGTCGTTTTGAGAAACGAGTGCGCGTGCACTCACACACGCACGCACAAACACACGCATGCACGTGCACCATGTGTGTGTACACCTGCGAAGTAACTTAGCAACAAATTGTGCAGTCTATTTTACACTTTTTTTTTATTTTGCAGTCATTCGCAGAAAGTAAGGATGTTGTGATAACGTCTCAGAAGGGCTTGTGAAATGTTACCTTGATGGCACATACCCGCAAGGGTATGCTGTTTGAAAGAGTTCATTATATTAGTTTAAATCGATTGTTCTCATTGTTAGTCGGTCGTTATTTTTATTGAACTTGTGCATTAGTAACATATGTGCATTATATTAAGTTGAAGCACTACCTCTCATTTATATGAGTTTACTTCTTTATTGGGGTTTAGTAGCGTTCGAGCTAACATTCAACCATTCAACTTTAGGATGACCGAGGGTGTATTGCGGTGTGCTCCTTGAAAAACATGATGGCACTTGGTGCTAACACCATAAGAGCCCGTCATTGCAACCACATATTGACTTGTACCGTAGCGGGGAAACAAACGAGGAGAAAGGTGGTGGCACACTGTGCTGCACGCCAGCTTACGGTGAACGAAAAAGCCCATATTTGCACCCTTTTTGCAATTAGTTTAGTACGTTCTCATTAAACTCAACGTCGCATATACAGTCGAAATGAAACTGTCCAGTCTCCGCTGCGGAGGATCGACACCCAGCTGCATTTTCGATGGAGGCGAAAGTGCTGTAGGCCTGTATGCTCGCATCTGGGTGCACGTTAAAGAACACCGAGGTGGTCGAAATTTCCGGAGCCCTCGAATACGGCGTCTCTCATAATCGTGTGGTGGTTTTGGGACATTAAACCCCACATATTATCGTCACGCGAATTGCCCAGGAGGCAGAACATGAGTAGAACAGGACAAGCGCGAGACGCGCTCTTCCTGTCTACTACTTGTGTTATGTTCCCTGCGCAGTTTTATTTCGGCCTAACTGTCGTACTAACTAGCGTCTAAACATATTTGAGTTCATAGATAACTGCTCCTACAACTGCACGGTGCACTCTGTGTTTGTTTAGCAGTGAGCTGTTTACACGGGCAAGACGTAACTGTAGCCGACGCTATCCAACGTCGGACGCGTGCAGGTCATCCTGTCCACACAGCTGTTCACGTACGAACCACTCAAGTTCGGCGACTACGTGTACCCGCGCTGGGCTCAGGTGTTCGCCGTCTCGCTTGTGCTCGTGCCCGTTCTCATCGGCGTCATCATGTCTATCTACCACCTGATCAGCTGCAAACTGGTAAGAGCCGGCGTTACGCGATCTTCGCGTCATTCTCTCAACTTGGGAAGCTGTTTAGAGCCGAGGCAAGCCCGGGGATCCGGCATCTGTTCTTTCCAGCCCGGCTGCAAAAGCGAAGCCTTGCAGCCGGGCTGGAAAGCTAGCATGTATAAAGCTAGCATGTATAAAACGCTAGCAGCTAGCTGGAAAAGCAGCTAGCTGGAACCGGGCTGGAAAGCTAGCATGTATAAAGCTAGCATGTATAAAAAGCTAGCAGCTAGCTGGAAAAGCAGCTAGCTGGAACCGGGCTGGAAAGCTAGCATGTATAAAGCTAGCATGTATAAAAAGCTAGCAGCTAGCTAAAAAAAGCAGCTACCTGGAAGCTAGCATGTATAAAGCTAAGTAGGTGAGTGGGAAGTTTAGTGTCGCGAGAAGATAAAGGATAAAAATCTGAAAAGGGTAAAGCTGTGTGGAGAGGAGGAGAGCAAAAACTAAGCTCGGAGGATTTCAAGCTGAACGGTTGTGCCGCCCGCGATTTTTGACGCCAGCGTAGCTCTAGCCGACTGGTTCGCCCTCCGCGACCTCCTGATGCCGCCCAGCTCTCGCCGAGTGGTGCCCCGTCCTCGGACTTCTTCTGCCAGCTGCCAACTTCCCTATCTCCTTCTTTTTCTGTCGCTTGCCTGCCTTGTTTCTTTAACTATATCTTTTCCATATTTTATTATATCCCCCCTCCTCCCATCCCCTACAAGGCACTGAACCGTGCTCCCGCAAGGGCTGCGGAAAATAGTGTCTTCTTCCTATTCCAAGCAACCACGAATTCAATTCAATTCTATATCAAAGGACCTTATTGCTCCATCGACCCAACAACCCGGGTGAGCTGGCGCTTCAGGTGAAGGGGACTGCAGCGCCACCAAAAACTTTCCGCGCATTTTGCTTCACTCGCGCCGCTCCAGTGAACCCACTCCGCCATTCTAGTACGCGCTGAACGTTGGCAAAACTGGGGAAACGGCGCACTCCTAGCTCTGCTGTACGTTTAACCAGCCTTCGCGACGGTAAGTGAATTAAAGCTGCGTTTTTTTTTTAACGTCGTAGGCGTTTTGCAGGTAAGGAGCAATGGAGAGACCGGAACAGGAAATTGTGAGTCTCTGAAGACAGGATGTTTAAACCGGAAGCGAATCGAGACAACACGCCCCGATGCCAGAAAACTATTGCACTCCATAATACTCGCATTGCGACGTAAAGGGTTCCAGTCACTTTCCAGCCCCTATTTCCGCGTCAAAAATGACGGCATCCTATTTCCAACTCGTCTTTCTGTAACGAAAACGGCGGGTATAATTTCTATAGGCGGCGGGAATCGGCTTAAGTTTCCTCTCGGATGAATCCATGTGAACGAGCTGGGCATACGGCCGTCGTGTGTTATGACGCGATACGAGACGACGTTCCAAACGCAGGACTTGACCAGGGCGCTTCAGCCGAGGCCCTCGTGGGGTCCCAAGGACCCCGACACCCGTCGCGCCTACGAGGAGTTCCTTGCAGGGCACGGCATCTCGACCGGTCAACCGGCGCAGACGGCTAAAGTGGCGACTGCGCAGCCGCCGTCCGAGCCGGCGAATGTGCTCGTGCCACCCGTACATGTGGTCGCTCCTCCGCCGGTCGCGGGAATGCCTCCCGGCATGCTCGGGCCACGACCACCGCCAGGAGATCCCGCTTACGGCCAACCTGGCGCCCAGTGGCCAGGCGCCTAGCGCAGGACGCTACCGTAAAGGAGCACAGAAAAAAAAGGATCGTAAAGAAAAAAGCAAATGTGTCTGGTCGCCTTCAAACAGTGTCTTTTATATTGCTGCAGTGACGGCTTCTAAGATTCCTAAGTGGGTAATAATAATGATTGATATTTGGGGTTTAACGTCCCAAAACCACTATATGATTATGAGAGACGCCGTAGTGGAGGGCTCCGGAAATTTAGACCACCTGGGGTTCTTTAACGTGCACCCAAATCTGAGTACACGGGCCTACAACATTTCTTCCTAAGTGGGTACATATTAAAGCGAGAGCCTCAGATGCCTCTTCTCAAACAAAAGACTTGACCGGTGGCGCTAACAAAAGCGATAAGGAAATTCGTGTGATGACGTCACCGCTGTGTAACAGATTTGTCACATTTGTGATGATATGACGTCATCACATGACATAGCTATCGCTGCTTGGGGATAGGCGTGCCGATCCTGGAGAATGGTAAAGTGCAAAAACTTGCAATGTCTCCGATCACTGATCACAGAGGCTGTGCAAAACCACGCTAGATAATGTTTTGAGGGGCCCAATTCAATGAGAAAATGAATTGATCAATATTTACTTCTCGGGCTAAATGGTGACAAATCTGAAAATAACAACAATGTATTTTATATCAATTTTATTAGGGCGTATTGCAATGCCCGTAAAGGGGGGCGTAGGAGGCTGTGTAATGATAGGGCGGCTGGGTTCCACTGTTTGACCCAATATATGGCGTCACAGAACGTGACAACGCCACTGTTCTACTATAGCGGCGGTCAGTGGGCATCGCCACCCTGCGCGACGGAACACTGGCAACGAGGGGCTTTATAACTAAAGTGTATCCATCTCGAATTTTTTACCAGTGTTGCTGCACAACGGGCAAGGACAGCGATACAAGGAACAGACGAATGTACAAAAGATACAAAGAATGTCGCAAGTATCAATAAGCCGCTAAAAGTGCGCAAATTACTGAGGTTCAACGCAAGCAGTAATGATAAGTGCATTTCACAAAACGACAAACATTCTAAATAAATGTAGGAGAAATTGGCACTACGTACTTTTCGTGTCATGCAGGGATCAAGAATTGGTTGTTTAATATCTTGGCTTCTTTTATTTTTCCTGTCTTGAAGTAATTTAGCATTACTTCACGTTTATATCGTCTATATCTTCACGTCTATAGGTTGAAAGCCTTAGACGCCTGACAGGACACCAAAAGTGACAGTCAACGGCATCAACACGAAGACATTAAGAAAATCGTCAAGCCATATGCCGTCATCATATGACGTCACAAGTCTCTAGAACTTTGACATAACAGTAACTTCACATTAAGTGATATCGCACGTTGATATCATCGCACGACGTAGTCTGCCAGTGAAACGTGGGCAGATATCCGAGGCAGAGCTGCAAAACCAGCTGCAGAAAGATGCGATGCCTCCGATCTAGGAGAGACGGTGCATAGCCACGTTCGGTGCAGAAGGCCTTCGAGGAGGGGGGGGGGGGGGCAATACTATCAAATGACACGTTTATTTCCGCTACATTGGTGCACCGACAGCGGGGGGGAGGGGTTTGTAACCCCCTCCCTCCCGAGGCCGACCTAACCCCCTCTTAAGTAACCCAATGTCCTTGTTGCCGAGTCACCTACGTCAGTAGTGCACCGATGGGGGCGGGAATCTGGGGTTTTAATTCCCCCACCAAAAGTCGACCCCCCCCCCCCCCCCCCGTAAGTGCAGCCTTGTTTTCAACTTCTCATCGTATCAATCTAAGAAGCGGCTTGAGGGCAAAATTGCCTGATTTATTCCACTAATTATATCGTATTTACATATCTACACCTGTAGGGAGGACAGGCTCAAGTTTGCGCAGCGCCGTTCACCACCCTAGCGGAAAGAGAGCAAAGCTCCGGTCGCTCGTACGGGCCGCGCTTGCTGCGTTTTCCCATATCGCGCACGGAAAACGTGTTCCTTGGAGCGCTTATCTCGCGTTTTGTACGTTATGGGCTGTGCCCCTTCGTCATTTTGGAAAGCAGGCACGCACTACCGCTGCATTGTGAGCTGCTACAAAGCTTAAACATGACGAGGACCTGAAAATCGCGCGTCAAGTTCTACCGTTGCCAATGGAAGCAGTGCGAGAAGCAAATGCGTCAAGAGTAGTTTATGGCAGTTCGCTGATACTTCGCGGTCTCGTTACTTTGAAAATTTTTTGTCGTGCACAGTACTACACATTATTAATTCGCTGAAAAAAAAAACGTAATGGCGGGATTCATATTAAAAGAAAGCGTGCTTGTAAACTGAAACTACAGCAAATCAGCTAGAACACCGCTGTACATTTCGCGATTGGGCTATCGCTTTCCGAGACAACCATCGGTAGTGCGAAAGCTGTGGAGCTTGCTAGCTTAATACGCTTAAAATACCGTACTTTGAGCCCTGTAAGTGTTTTGTTCAGCAGATGGCTGAATAAACACTTACTCGTCGCTGCTCAGTGTGAACAGATTTGTGCTGCGGTTCGCGCTGAGCGTTTATACGAACAGGTCTTGCAAGCAGCACCCACCGATAGGTTAGCATGATGAGGTGTTGTGATACCAGGATCGAAATCACGAGTTCGATTCCCGCATACGTAAGCTTCATTTCCACGGGAGCGAAACGCGGTAAAAGTGCGCTCAGATTTTGGTTCAGGATTGATAGTGCTGGTGTTGCGTGTTTCAGGCGTACGGTGGTATGACGCTAAATGTAAACAGGAGTGACGCTCGGTGTGTGTGCATCCTCTTTTTGTTGTCGCACTGTATACACTTCAAATAGATTTAGGTGCAGGATAAAAAAAATTCAGGTGGCCGCAATCAGTCTGGAGTCTGAAACCACGGCGTGCCTCCTAGTGATATGACGGTCTTGGCACGTAAAATATTATGTCCTTGCATGCGCCCGAGCCGCAGGCGATTACAGATGCCGCTACGAAAACGGATTGAAAAAAGAACCAAGGTGGGTATAAAATTTACGATAATTTCGCGAAATCAGACGCGGTTATCAGGGGCAAATCTCGGCGTGACTAAAACATGTTCGATCCTAGTGGGTATTGTGCGATATGACGGCGACCAAGCGAGCTGTCAAACCAACCTGATTGACATTCGAATCGGTGAACACGCTGCGTGATCAGGCGTGGATATTATTCGAAATGCCGAAACATGCGCTGCAAAACACGTGCATGGTTGAAGTGAACATAAGATACTTTTTGTGTGCATCATTATACTTTCAAAGGAGATGCAAAAAAAAAAAGTCAAATGGGTCATTGAACTTACGGCACGACCTTGTTCCCATCCGATGAAAATTTCGGCAAAGGTTTTGAAACTGAACGCACCACATTGAAACGGTGCCAGGGACTGAACAGGGCAGACGTAAGTTCAGGCTCTTCACGCCGACCTCCTAATTAGTTGAAAGCCGCGTGACAAACTTCGCATTCAAGCAATAGAAATCCGAACGTTGTATGCAAATGCACGCGAAAGCGTGGTGGTAGTTTGCTGACAGCTCCGAGAAGACACGAACGCCGCAGCAAATGCACGTTTTACCGGTAATGTACACATAGAATACGGGCCGTCATTTCACTTTTAACGTCGCCCCGCCGCATGCTGATAATAATGCACGTCTGGTTAGGCAATATTTCTTTCAATCTGTCTGTTCGTTCGTGGAATCACAAAAGGTTCAACAAGAGGTGCCCGAATGGCCTCATCAAGGAGAAAGCCTTCTACAAATGAAGGAATTTTAAAAAGCCTGTTAAATATGATGCTTTTTACCTCTTTTTTTGTCTCATATTTCTACTTTGTTTGATGTATATATGTTTGTGAATGTTGTAGGTCCACAGGTAATAAAGAAAGAAAAAAAAGCCGCGGTGGTCTAGTGGCTAAGGTACTCGGCTGCTGACCCGCAGGTCGCGGGATCGAATACCGGCTGCGGAGGCTGCGTTTCCGATGATGCGAAAACGTTGTAGGCCCGTGCGCTCAGATTTGGGTGCACGTTAAAGAACACCAGGTGGTCGAACTTTCCGGAGTCCTCCACTACGGCGTCTCTGGTAATCATATCGTGGTTTTGGGACGCTAAACCCCACATATCAAATCAATTACTCTTAGTGTCACAGAAAGACAGCTGTTCACCATCGAGATTCACATAGCACTCGCTCAATGACATCGTGTTTGCCTTGCTTGGTCCCGCAAAGGTTGTCAATGAATCGCTCTCGGTTCTGATAAGATTCACACCGTGCGAACGTTTTTATATTCTTTCTAAACCTTCGGAGCAAGCCACAGGTGTCGCTGCACGTGAAGGGCGACCAGATAACAGCGCAAGCAGAATGCGGGAGCGGTGCACCGAGTGACCGGCTTTCGTTAGAAAGGCGGCGAATGGATGAATGGATATGGCTGTACCCTTTAGATTGGGCGGTGGCTAGCGCCACCAAGCCGTAATACTTAATGAACCCAAAACTATTTTTCCTTAAAAAGTGAGTTCGAGGATTCGTACTTTGCAGTGAAGAGTTTAATTTTCACTCGTGCCTTGACTTTAGCCACCAATCAGATAACCTCCTTCTAGTTAAGTCTACTTGCTTAAAGTCTATTTTGCCCTCCCGGTCCCTGAACCCCAGTGCTTTGAAAAACTCTGCGCCATCATCCTGAACTATAGGGTGAAGCCCTTTACAGAACATTATCAAGTGTTCGGCAGTTTCTTCTTTCTCTCCACACGCACTGCATACTGTGTCTACCCCTTCGTATTTGGCCCGATATGTCTTGGTTCGCAGTACTCCCGTCCTTGCCTCAAGCAGTAGATAACTACCCCGAGTATTATCATAGATCCTTTCCTTGGCAATTTCCTGCTTAAAAGTTCGATAGATCTCTAGTGCGGACTTCTTAATCATGCCCATTTTCTACATGTCAGTCTCCGTGCGATGCAGCGCCCCCTGGCCGAGGTTGGGAGGCCATACTGAAAGTGCAGAAACCACGTGCTCTGTG